GGCTGTGACCCTGGGCACCCTGCTGGGGGTGAGCTGCTGGAGCAGGGGGTTGGAGGAGATGATCTCCAGAGGTCCCTCCCAACCCCACCCTGCTGGGATGCTGTGACTCCAGTCTCCAGCTACTGCCTCAGTGTCTGTAACACAAACCAGACTTTGAGCAGAGGAGACTCTGCCAAGAGCTGCTCAGCCAGACAGCAGGCGGGTGGCAGAGCCATGGCCAGGCTGGGAACCAGGCTGTACTGGTGGCACTGGGAAAAGGGGACTTGGATCCAGCCAGGATGCCCAGGCTGGTGAGCTCCTCAGAGCCCCTGGTCTGCCTGTGTCTGGCAGGGATGCTGAGGCCTGTCAGTCCCACTGCTCCCAACAGGCAGACAAAAGGGTGACAGAACAGCCACCGTGTCCCCAGCTACCCACTGCCTCTCCCAGGGGAAGCATTCCAGCACACTGCCATTATTCCCAGATAAAAGGGCACATTGATGCAAACAGGCAACACTCACTAAATGAGGAATAAATAAATAAGAGTCCATTCTGCCTGAACGAGTGGTGTTTGGGTTGTTCTCTGGATTTTCTCCTTTCAGATGCTGCACTGATCACCAGGAGAATTGTGACTGAGTCAAGGCAGAGGTACCAAAACTATTTCCTTTCTATTTCTTTTCATTGGACCAACCCTCCACCTCGCTGGCCAGCAGGAACTTCTGCCCTGACCCAATTTCAGCTTCCTTCCCTTCTCCCTGATCCAGGTTTGGGCATTATGTTGTATTTTATGTAGTCAGACACTGAGTGGGGCCCGTGTCCAGTTTGTGTTACCAAGACAGAAGTTGGTTTGTGATGCTCAGGGAAAAATAATTACAGAATATTTGGCAAGCAAATAAACAGGCTGAGTTCAAGCACTGCCCTGCAAGAGTTCTGCCAGGAAGGGCTTCAAGTGAATCAGGAGCATGCTGGGGCCATGGGCACGTTATTTAAAGCACCCCCAGCTTTCTAAGCAGATTCCAGAGAGCAGGGAAGGCCTGGGAAAGAATTCTGCAAGAACTGCACTGAGTTCAAACAGGCAGCACAAAACCATCCCACCAGAGAGAGCATCCTTCACAAGTGCAATGGTGTGAGCAGAAAAATCAGCAGTTTCTTCACCAACAAACAGGATTGGGGGCTTAGATTCCTCCAGTGTAACCCCCACCCTGGCCCAGGCTGCCCAGAGAGGTGGTCACTGCCCCATCCCTGGAACCATCCCAGGGGAGGTTGGATGGAGCTCTGAGCACCCTGCTCTGGTTGGGGGTGTCCCTGCTCCCTGCAGGGGGCTGGATGAGGTGACCCTGAAAAGTCCCTTCCACCCACCCCAGCCCTGGTTGAACGCAGGCTTTGCTGTGCCTCAGCCCCAGGCAAGTTTAACCCAGCTGAGGAAATGTGCCATTAAGGCACTGGAGATGTGATTCAGAAACCCACTGAAGGTTTTTAAACAAATTAAACCCTTCAGAAGAGAAGCAGCAATTGCTAAACTCCAATTCAGCATCCTCCTTCCTCACACTAGGGCTCCTGTGGAGAGGTGCTGGGTCTATCCCCCTCAGGGCAATCCCTCCAGCCCGGGTGGGTGTCTCCAGGAAGCCTCTCCCTGCCCTGGCAATCAGAACTAGGATTAGCTCCAGCACGTTAATTCTCCTGCCTCCAGAGCTGGCAGGGAGCAGGGGGAAGCAGAGAGACCTCACCTCTCGGTGCCTGTCCCGGTCCCTGGACTTCTCCCGCACCCAGTCTATGGTGTTGAAGTCTTCATAGGTGCCCACGCCAGGAAGAGGTTCCTCCAGGAAATCCATCACTGTGCTCGTGCCGTTCATCCCTCCTCCATTGTATGAGGAGAAGCCTGGCAGGGAAGAAAGGGGGAGAAAAAAATAGAGCAGTTTTTAGTTTTCCTCCTTTTCAGGGAAAACGAACAACTGGCACATCACCAGAACACTGACTGAGAGGGAAACCCACAGATTTCAGAGGAAACCAAGAGCTGAGGAGCTTCTTCCTGGAGCCAAACACCCCAAACAGGATGTGGTGAAGATGAAGGCAGGAAGGGGAGGGATGGGAGCAGGGAGATGGGGGAAGCAAAGCACCCCACCCCCCAGTGACAGTGTGGGGGTCCAGGAGGGCCCGAGAAGCAGCAAGTGGCACCAGGGGAGGGCTTTGGAAGGTACCAAATCAGGGCTCACTGCCTCCCTTCAGGTGAGACTAACCCCTCAACCTTCTGTCCAACCTGCTCCAGCCATGGAAAATGGTGCTTAGAGGGGATGGACATCCCCAGAGTTTCAGAGCAAAAAGATGCAAAAGCAAAACCCCAGTCAAGGCTGAAAGGTGATGGGGAAGAGGAGTGTCCAAACCCCCATACAGGAGGAGAATGTTTCATATTTCATGTGGCACATTTAGGTGGTAGACACCATAAGAGCAAAGACATCCTCAGATGGGGAGAAGTGAGGAATTCAAACAACTGCTCCCTAGCTCATCATCTAAAAGCAGGAGGAGGGAGGAGAGACCTGTGGTGCCTTCTGAGCCCATCTCCCAGGCTGGCACAGCTGCCTCCTGGCAGAGCAGCAGCCGCAGGGAAACAGATGAGTCATGTAGCAACACTGACAACTGCCACCAAATAACCACTTCAAAAAGGCTCCGTGCTCCATGGGGGACAGAAACAGGTCAGCTGAAGTTCTCCAGGGCTCCTCCCCCAGAGGTGGGTGCCCAGGCTGTGAGCCCCCCCAGCCTGACTGCTGCTGTACAGAACACGGGGCACGTCGGCCGAGAGCCCCCAGAGTCACTCTGGGTTTAACAACAGTTCTGCTTCTCTGAGGCCAGCAGCTCAGAAACAACAAACCAGAGTCAAGGTGGCAGAGCCCTCCCTGACAGCCCAAGCACTGCCTGCAGACCTGACACCCCAAAACCTCCTCGGATCAATCGTCCTCACAACAGACACCCGTGTCCAGCACGTGCAGCAGAGCCCCTGCAGCTGCTGCTGCTGCCCTGCACGGAGCAGTCTGGATGGAGCACAGAGCTGCTGGGCTGGAAAAGAGCTTCAGAGAGCCTGGAGGCCAACCAGTGACTCAACACGGCCAGGTCCCCACTGCCCTGTGTCCCTCACCCCACATCTCCACGGCTTGGGAACCCCTCCAGGGGTGGGGACTCCACCACTGCCCTGGGCAGCCTGGCACAGCCCTGGGCAACCCTCCAGGGCAAGAAATTGTTCCTCAGGGACAACCTTAAGGTCTCCCCTGAGCCTCCTTTGCTCCAGGCTCAGCACACCCAGCTCCCTCAGCTGCTCCTCCCCACACTTGGGCTCTAGACCCTTCCCCAGCAGCTTCATTGCCCTTCCCTGGCCACACTCCAGCCCCTCCAGGTCCTTCTTGGAGCAAGTGGCTCACAGCCTCTAAAGGCCACGAACCCCTTCTGAAGCAGTTATGTGGCACAGGGGACAAGACAAGGCATCATCCCAGTCAGCCACAGCTCAAACAACTCACTCCTACAGTCCAGAGCTGCAGATCTTCACAGCACAGGCCACAGATGTGGAAACTTCAGATACAAGTAAGGAGGTGGCTCTGGTGGGGGAGTCTCTGAAGTTGTGATAAGTGTGGGTGACAGGTTTCTATCAAGCCCTGAGGGGCAGAAGACAACACAGTCTAAAAAGATACATCTCTGCTAAAAAACCCCAAGTAAAAGCCGTGTTAAACCAGCTAACAGACTACCCTGAGAAGCATTTTCTGCAAGAAGATGAGATCAGGGCCATTCCTTGTTCACTCTTCTGGAAAAACTGCCCAAACCAGCAACTTTTAGCTGTCCTGGGAACGTTCTCACAGCTCAGAGCAACACGAATGAGACCCTGGGGGCACAGAGTCAGCACCCAGGGCTGCAGGTCACCAGCACCAACCTGATCTACCAGCACAGCCACCAACCAGCCTGCAGGACCCCAGCTGTGCCACAGCCACCAGCTGCAGGGGGACCCCCCAAGGCAGAGGGGATGGGCTGGCTCAGCCTGCACACTGGGGACCAGCCAGGGTCCCCCTGGAGCCCGATCCTGCTCTCCAGACACTGACCCCCCACTCACTCCAGCCTGCAGAGGGTTGAGACTCACAAAATCATCACCAAATCCATTTCATGTCTCCAGCCTCACACAGCAACTCCACGGCCGTGGTAAGTGGCTCAACTGCCCCTTTGACAGAAGATAATGAGAAAATGTCCTTATATTTTTTTTTCCAGGAGTAATCCCAACTATAAAATGGCTGACAGCCATAAATATTTATCAAGATCATATTTCCTGCCTCGGCTTGCTGCAAATCAAGGATAAGCAGATAGGAGCAAAGGAGAAAACGAGCTGGGTAGTGCTGCACACTCGAGGTGATCAGCAGGTCTCCCCAGTTCAGCACAGGGATCCCTGTCTGGTGCCCACAGCCAGCCAGCTCCCTGCCACCCCGTTGGAGAAGTGCAGCTTGGTTTGCCAACAGATTTGTCAGTGCTCTGATCCCCTCTTCTCCCCAGCACAGGTCCATCCTCCACTCCAGGCTGCCTGGCTCAGGGAAAGGGCTGTGCTGTTCCATTCCAGGCACCTGCCCTGTGCAGCACGCTGGCTCCCGAGCCCCACGGGCTTTAGGAGCAGTCCTGGCAGCCCTGGCCCAGCAGCTGGGAGAGGCAAAGCCGGGCAGAGCCAGCGGGGTGCTGCCGGAGGGGGCCGGGCAGAGAGCACCCCACCAACCCCGCCACCCCTCA